TGTGAGGATGGCACTATCGTTCCCGAAAAAAAAGCCTGTGGCGATATTTTGGCAAGTTGCTGACGATAATTTTGCAAAAATCAACAGTAGCTCTTAACGCAATTTCCAAGGATTCAAACCGATCAAATTCCACGAAAGCACGGGAGATCACTTCGCCCACTGCTTCATCGCCCTTGATGATGTCCAGCGCAGTTGTGGACGAAACGTCAGGAAGAAATTCCCATGAAAATCATTTCTATATGTGATTTGACCGGCCATGAAAGCCTTCATAACCAATTGGTATGTTCATTAACTGGTTCAGGTGTTGTGCTCACCTGAAACCATCGCCACATCTGCACATCGGGCCTGCTGGCGTTTTGATGCAGTCCTGACTGCAGGGGTTGTTCATCGACTCGCAGGATTTCGAGCACAGTCCGCCTTCATCAGACTCGTCGAAGCAGTCGTGCTTGTCGTTGCAGAGCAACTCCACGCTGATGCACGCGCCTGATTTGCATCTGCACCGAGAAGTTAAGGTTTCTCGCTGCTGAACTACCAGGAAAAGTTACCTGAATCCATCATCGCAATTAGTGTGAATCAATCTGGAAGTTTGCTTGGACTCAGTGTGGCAAATGGTGGCATTTTCGTCACTGTGATCGCCGCAGTCGTCGCTTCCATCGCACACCCACAGATTGGAGATGCATTTTTTGTTGCCGCACTCGAAGGCATCGGGACCTGGATTCGCATCAGCCTGGATTAGCAAAAAAACAGGCACTTTTTCCAGATAAACTACCGCAATTTGAGCAATTCATTTCGTCTTCTTTCTGCGGGCATTCCGCAGTTCCATTACATCTAGCAGCTTTGCTCAGGCAAATGGTCTGATTCTTCGGGCAAGCGAACTGATGTTCTCCGCATGCCGAGCTGGAGCTTCCACTCAGCAGATAGCAGTTTAGTTCATCCGAATGATCGCCGCAATCATTCAAGTTGTCGCAAATCATCGATTTATCGATGCATTTGCCATTGTTGCACGTAAACATCGCGGGGCTGCATGTGAGGAGATCTGCAAGACATTCAACGCCTTGAAGTCGAACTGCTTGTTCTAAAAGTTTGAACTGTTCAATTATCCACTTGAAAAAAACCTACCGCAATCAGCATGTTCATCCGAAAGATCTTTACAATCGTACTCATGATCGCATTCCCAGCTCTTTGGAATGCACTCGCCGGAGTCACACCTGCAAGATTGAGTTAGTTTCGATTCGATTTAGAGCGGTTTGCGTGGACTGACCGAAACTGTGAAAACGAGCACACATTCTCCAGACAATTGTTCTCATCGGAATGATCGGCACAATCGATCACACCATCGCAAACAAACCGATCACCGATGCAGGTTCCGTCGCCACAAGCGAACTTGTTTGGAGGGCATTTTTTCGCCGTTGATTTGGCCATGCACTGCAGCTCATCCGACTTGTCTTTGCAGTCGAAATGGTGATCGCAGACTTGCTTTTCCTGATTTTACCACCCAAAAACAAAAAAATTTCGTTGCAATCGAATGAAGCGCTTGAAGACCTACCGGGATGCATTCTCCACTTTGGCAGCCGAAGTATCCAATGGGACAGCGAACGTTCATCTTGCAGTCGTCCTCGTCTTCCCCGTGAGGACAGTCCAGTTTTCCGTTGCATTTCAATGTGCTTTGAATGCACGTGTTGGACGTGGTGCACATGAATTCTTCAGCTTCACACGCGTGTCTGGAAAAGTCACTTGCTCGATTAAAATGTTTGTTTGGGTCTCTCTGTATATGGTGGTCCAGTTTCACAAACTGTATTTTATATACACTTAGGGCACGCCACTGACTTTGCATCAAACAGAAATTACTTATGCATTCTTCATTCAGTTTGGCAGAGAAGGTTTTCTGCAATTCTCTGTACAGCTCAGCGTTTTCAGTTAGAAACTAAGAAATAATTGATAATCTAGTAGAGAAATGACAGTGTGGTCAATGGAATTAGACCAGCGGTTTGTCCACCCAGACCATCGGACTTAAATCCACTGGACTTTCACGTTTGGAGACGTGAAGATGAAGTTTTTCTGCTCGTTAAGCGAACGAATTCTGCAAGCCTGCAATGATGATGCAAACCTGTTTTCTTTCAAACCGAAGGAATAATGCAAAAGTGATTTTTCTTCTACGAAAAAGCAGTGGCGTATCATATTTGTCTTTTAAAACTTCCATTAGCGTGTTAGTAACAACAGAAAAAATCGTTTTTATTGGAAAATTTGCGGCCTTGTTGGCAATTATCGCCTGCAAAAACTCGTTTAAATACCCACAACCGTTCGGCAACAATGAAAAATTTGGTTTTTTAATGCCCAACTTAAACCCGCTGTATTTTCTTAACGAAGCGTTTCTCGAAGATAAAATGAACGTTGTCCAGTCGAATATGCCCCAACTTTGAAACTGGATAAATTCTGATTGTTTACAGCGATTTGGTATCTGTTTGACGCGGTTTAAAACAATTTTTTTTATTGTTAATCAATTTTCTGATGAAAATTAAACACTACGGATTTTCTACAGGGTGGCACATGGAAAAACGCAAAAGTTTGCAACTTTCGCCATGTTGCTAGTTGGACAAAAACAGGTTTTTTTGGATGTTAACGCACAAAACTTGAATTTTTCGGCCATCAGTCTGGCAGCGGTAACTTTTCTGCTCTTGCACCGATTTTCACGATCTTGAGCTCATGTTGAAACTTAAAGTTCAGGCGAAAGACAGACAGAAGTTAAAACGAAAATTCGATATACAGGGTTGCACAAAAAATTGACTAAATCAGAATTGCTTCGAAAATCTGTGATTCTGAAAGCGTTCCAACTGAGTGAAGTTTACTTTCAAATATTTCATTCATTCATGCAACCCGGTATATTGAGTTTTAGCTTCTGCACGAACCCCAGATTGTGAAAATTGGGGCAGGAGAAAAAAGTGATCACTGCAAGGCCAAAAATGAAATTTTTTCGGTCCACTCTGTTAATATGCGGAATGGCAAAAACTTCAAAAACGCTTTTCTGGACGTGAGGTTTACATTAATGCCTGTGGTGTTGAAACGGAAAAAAATCGCTTTTTGTCCATCTGAGAATACGCGAAACTTTCAACAATTTTGCATTGGTTCATTTGCCGCCCTGTAGGAGCTCTGCTGCACAATTTTTTTGCAATAGCACGCACTAACCGAAAAATGATTGCGCTGAATAAGGCCTCAAACAGAAACCAAATCGCTCTAAGCATTCACAACTTATCCTGTTTCAAAGTTAGTCTAAGGTTGATTTTGGTCCCCTCTGACTGACTTGACAAAAGCATTTGACCGCATCATTTCAATGCGAAAATACCTGATGCTGCAACGTTTCATATCACTGTCCAAGACCATTCGGGCGGGACACGCACAAGTTGCGGTCTTGTGAGCGGGCAAGCACAAATGGCTGCAGTTTCCGTTGCTGTGCTCGCATGGACTGTAGGGAAGAACGCCTGGAGTTACTGAGGCCACATACACATTGAATACATGCTCAGCTGGTAAATCTGAAATTTTCCCCGGTTTTCATCGCAGTATGGTTTGCGCAAACTTCCCCGCTCTTACCAATGGATATTGTTTGGGTGTTTTCGCCAGAACTCTTGTCGGCCCAGTAAAGCGTCTTGGAATACTGATTGGTCCAGAATAGGTCTGAGTTAAGAGCGGTCAAGTCCGAGAATATGGAATATGTTTTTTTAAACACATGCCGCTCGTCTCCTGTGGAGAAATTAACAAACATTTCTTTTATTGAGACACCCGGTGTATTATTGGATAATTGAATTGCGCGGTCAATTTCAACCTGACTTGATGTGTCACACTTGGGATCCACCGACCACCATTTTGCCGCAATGTTGCAATAACTCCAAATTTGACATTCTCTGTCAATTTCAACCTGACTTGAAATTGACAGAGGATGACAAATTTGGAGTTATTGCAACATTGCGGCAAAATGGTGGTCGGTGGATCCCAAGTGTGACACATCAAGTCAGATAAGTTCTATATTGTTGAGGCGGATTCATTTTTTTACAAACTTCTTGTTGGGTATTTCGCCTCAAGAATTTTTGTCTTTAAAAATGACAGAATTTCCTCACGT